TCTTTCTCTCTAATTGTCTCCACCTTACTCGAATCTTGGTCTGAATCCATCTCCCCTACAACAAATTATAACACTTTTGTTGATATCCTAATAAAAGCAGCAAAACTTTCAATCCCGCGTAAGCGTTCGAAGAATATAGGTTTTAGCCATTCTCCTCCTTGGTGGAACTCAACCTGCACCACTGCAGTTAAAATGCGCTCCTTTCATTTCAAAAAATACAGATCCTCAGGTTCTCTTCATGACTTTATAACATATCAAAAATCAAAATCCAACACAACCAAAATTATAAAAAAAGAAAAAAAAACTCTTGGTTAAATTTATGCAGCAATCTACACCCTTCAACGTTTATCTCTGAATTTTGGACCATAGCTAAAAAATTCAAAAACTGTATAAATCGTCCTTCTTACACCACCAACAATGACTGGTTTGACGACTTTTGTAATAGAATTGCACCTCCTTACGTTCCTGCTCCTGACGAACTTGAATTACATTTTTCAGACAATTTAGTAAATAATAGTAATAATAAAGTAAAATTAAAACTATATTAAAAATATTATTAATTTAAAAAAAAACTAAAAAATATTAAAAATATTAAACTCAAAAGCCACAAAAAAATTAATGAAAAGTCGCGGAAAAGTAGCTTCCTTTCCTCTCCTTTCAGTCGTCACGAACTGTCCTTTGCTATCTCTTCAAGGAAATCTGCTGCTGCTGGCTTGGATAATATTTCTCCTTTTTTTTTTAAACATCTTCCAATAAAAGCCTTTGATATTCTTTTAACTATCTTAAACGATTTATGGATTAACAATATCATTCCTGTGTCTTGGAAGTACTTCAAAGTAATTCCTATCCCTAAAAGTGGTGCTGCTACTAACGCATACCGTCCAATTGCCCTTTCATCCGCCTTCTGCAAATTAACAGAATTTATGCTAAAAACCCGTCTGGATTGGTATCTTGAATCCAAATCCCTACTATCTTCTAACATGTTTGGTTTTCGACGTGGACTGGGCACAATGGAATGCCTATCCTCTCTTGTTGGTCCCGTGTACCATTCGTTTTGTAACCGCCAATTTACAACAGCCGTCTTTGTTGACGTTCGCGGTGCATTTGACTCTGTTAACATCCCTCTTCTTGTTACACGCCTACTCTCCATCAACATTCCTATATCGGTGTGCAAATTTATCTTTTCTTTATTTAAATGCCGCCTCCTTCACTTTAAATCGCCGTTTGGTCCCTATTACCAACGTATTACTTATAGAGGTCTTCCTCAAGGTAGCTGCCTCAGTCCTATTTTATTTAACATATATACTGCTGATATAAGCAAATCACTCACATCTAATAATTTCTCTAGTTTACTTTACGCCGATGATATAGTTATTTTCTCTTCCCATAGTTCACTCCAGGTTACTGTATCGAATATAAATAATGCACTCCAGATCCTCTCCTCTGTACTCCAGATTTCTTATTTTGAATCTGCTCCAGAAAAAAGCAAAGCTATAATATTTACTAGAAAACACATCCTACAACACCCTTCAATTTTGCTTGATGGAGTTAGCTTATCCTTCTCTGATTGTGTTACTTACCTCGGACTCAAACTAGATCAAAAACTCCGCTANGACTCAAACTAGATCAGAAACTCCGCTGGATGCCTCACTTTAAGTACCTCATCTCTTCCATATCACGCTGGTCTAATCTTCTACGTTCTATTGCAGGCACCTGGTGGGGCTCCCACCCCTCCTCACTCTTACTTATTTTTAAGGCTCTTATCTGTTCTAAAGTTGACTGTGGTTCCTTTTTATACGCCTCGGCTTCCACTGTTCATCGTAAAAAAACAATTCTCTACTTGCTGATTGTTTACGCACAATTATAGGTGCAGATTACTCTACCCCTAATATGAGTTTAGAAGTTGAATGTGTATGCCCTCCAATTGAAATTCGATCTCGTTACTTAGCCCATAAATTCCTTTTAAAACAGATATCCAGTCCTGCCAAGTTAATATTTCATTGTTTTCATTCACTAAGCTCACTTTGGCGATATGTACCCAAAACTCTTCCTCTACTAGCCTCAATTTCTACTTCCTTGATTCCTTACCTTAATTCCATAATTACCTCAATCAATCGCCTACCTATATACGACATTCCATTTCATGCACTTACTCATTTTCCAAAAATTCACTTTAATCATCTATTTCTTTCTTATAGCAAGCCTCGATTACAATCTCTCCCAACTAATTTCGTCAATTATCTTTTTGATGAACTCATTTCCTCTCGTTTTGCTAACTATTGCCTCATATTCACTGACGGCTCAGTTTATACTAATTCCGCCGGCTTTTCCTTTTTTATTCCTAGTCTAAACATGAATTTCTCAGATAATCTCCCTTCAAAAACTTGTTCATTTACCACCGAATCTTATGCAATATTCTCGGCTGTCGAATTCGTCAAATCGCTCAATATAATAAATGTTCTAATTGTCTCGGATTCACTGTCAGTTTTATCATCTCTTTCCTCAGTTCCTTTTAAAAAAAGTAGATCCTTCCTCATAATGAAAATTAAAGCCTTAATTTATAGTCTCTATTTAATGGACATCAATGTTGAATTTTTATGGTGCCCCAGTCATGTCGGAATATCTGGCAATGAGATAGCAGACCATCTAGCCAAACTGACTAACTCCTTCAACAGACCACCTATCCTAAAAATTCCCTCTTCCGATCTCCTTTCCTCTTTTCTTCCAACTATTAATAAAGCATGGCAAGATAAATGGTCAAATTTTTCTTTAGCTAACTGGCATAAATCTATAGTTCCAACTATCCCTAAACGTCCTTGGTTTTACAACCTCCCTCTGTCCCGTTTCCATATTATCTCTTTTTACCGTCTTAGATTTGGTCATAATCGGTTACCTAGTCATGCCTTTAACATGTCTCTAAACCATTCCCCCTTCTGCCCCAAACACAATGATGAAGTCTCCTGTAATTTTCCTCATTTACTATTTGATTGCCCAGCTTTACAACATAACCGTTTACTCTTGTTCAATTTCCTGTCCTCCCTTAATATTTCACCCATTAATAGTTTTAATATCCTTAATACAAATCCTCCTCAATAATTATACTTATAATTTCCTTCGTTCATTCAGCTGGCCTCGTTATATAATATTTTTCTGTATGTTAATTTAATATCCTAGATCTTTTTTGTTTTGTTCTTTCTTTTTTAGTATTTTGATTATGTTTAATTGTGTATAATAACAATATTTTTTTTTTGTTTCTTTTGTATAGTCTTAGTTCTATTGTATAGTCTTAGTTTCTATTGTATAGTTTTATCTTAATCGTTTAGCTATAATAATACTTCTGTATTGAAAGCTAAAAAAAAAAAAAAAAAAAAATTAAAGTTTATGATATGTAGTATAAATAAAAAACAAAATTTGTCCTGACGACTTATCTTCTACATGCAAATAGGTAGTTAAAAACATGCTTTGTGTTCAAACTTTTTTTTTTATTTTAAAATACCTTATAAGGGTTTGCCATAGTAATAAGTCCATCAATTTTTATAAAAGTTGCATGGATCTAATTTGTATTAAATATAAATTTAAACATAAACTCATTTTTATTATTATACTTTACTTATAAATGTAATGCACGGTAGCTGCATGATTCATTATACAGTCTTATAAGTTTGGAGTACGAAGTTCGCATTCCGTCAGAAGAAAGAACTTTTTTTGCATTTTTTTCTTAATTCAATTTGAGGGGGAAAAATATTCAAAACGAATAATTATAAATAACATTTGATCAAATATTCAATTAATATTGAAGACCCTATCACTGTAGTCTTTCCTCGACAGAAGGAAGATCCTGTTCATATTATTATATTTTACTATATGGTCTCTGTGTCTGTTATTGATTTTTTTCAGCTCTCACTTGGCCAATTTAAAAGATCAATAAGTTAAGAGAACACGATTTTAACAAGTTGAACTTATAATCACCAAATATTGGAAAAAATCCTTTAAATCTAGCGATTTAGATAAACATTTCAAAATTATGCTACTGTAAAAAATAACTACTTCAAAAATACTTTTTCAAATTAAATATTTCCAAATTAATAAGTGTACAAAATTTATATGAATAGTTTTGTATCAAACTCTTAAATATTTATACATATTTACCATAAATGTTAATTAAATAGTACAATTAATAAAATGTTTGAGTTTTTTATTTATTAGAAGATGGCATTTGAATTTTTAATGTAACTTTATTCGTTTAATAGATATATAATTTTAAAGTTTAAAATTTTCGAGTTAATATACATATATTATGTACGAGGGATTACAAATACAGGTAGCTAATTTTTTTTAATGACGTCGATATTCGTAGATTTGCAGCATTTATTATCAATGGTTGTAAGGCACATTGTAATTTTTTTATTAATACACCAAATGGTAATACAAAAATAATTATATCTATTGATTGTCATAATTGACAATAAACTATATTTTTGATTATTTATTTATATGTTTATACTCTTTTAATTACTAACTAGTTAACAACTGTTGTTTTTTAATTAACAACTATTATGAATAATATCAAGAATTAATCGTGATAGAAAAAATCAAATTGCAAATTTGAATTCAATACAATAAACACTCCGTGACTGTGATAGTGACGTTATAAAAACCAATTAGCTACCTATATTGTAATCATTCGCGTATTATACATATATATTAATTAAAAAATTTGAAACTAAAGTTTTATTAAAAATTCAAAATCCATTTACTATTAAATTAAAAATATGTGTACTCATTTGAAAAAACAAAGTTAACACTTTTAACCTTAAAATTCAACTTGCATAACACGTAGAATTTTGTTCGATTTTGATTTTTTGAGTTTTTTTATCTTCCTAGTAGCATTTTAATTATAATATATAAACGAAACCGTAAAAAATCGTTTTTATTCACATTGTATGTTTAATATTATGACTATGTTACTACTTTTATCACTATTACAAAAATGTATTTACCTGTATTTTAGAATAATCCAATTCTAATGAATAAGCCACAAAAATTATTACACAAATAATCATTTGTAACGGAAACATTATAATCATTTATTTTTACTATAAACAAGAACACGTCCTTAATTATTGTTACGTATTAAATACAACAGTTGTTGTCATTTTATCAAATTATAACTTCTTTAAATAAATTATGCGAAAAAAGAATAACAATAAAAAGAGTCTTATTTTGAAAAATAGTAGTATATTTTTAATGATTTACTCACTACAACTGTCTTCAATATTTCGTAGATATATGAGCTACATACTTAGATTGTCTCGGTATAATTATGGCATTGTGATCATCAGCTGTGACGGACATTTATTTGGTTATATATGTAGTCACGAGTTGATCCGTTCTAATAAAAAAACACTTACAGTCGTGTTGAAATTATAATTTTGTTGTATCTTTCATTGTTTTTACAAAGCATTAATATTTTACTATTTATAGTTCCTTTTCTACCAAAATAGGAGTGACAAATATTCAGTTTTTTAAGTTTAGGAAATTATCAAAAATAAGACTATAAGAAGTGATTGATTATCGTTGAGGTTTCAATTTCTCCTAAAACTATTTATAATTTTTAGTAGCATATATTTCTCGGCTATTTTAGATAATATTATTTATAGTATAAAATTATGAAAATTATCATAATTATAAAATTATGTTACATAATTATTATATATAAAGTCATATAAAATATTTATTTACTAAAAATGTATGAAACTTCTCAGGACAAGGAACCATCAACCCACTTGACTTCCAAAGTAATATTATACCCTGGTAGCAAATACTGTAGGAAGAAGATAAATATGTTAATATAGATGAAATATCCAGCTCGGTTCAAAGAGGCCTGAAACTATAACTTCGGTAACAACACATAATTAAATTTTCAAGTCAATTAATAAAAATGTGTGCTGATGATGTGTCAGATTAATTAAACAAAATTCATAAACACATATAATTCCAAACCCTAAATAATAGTTATTTTTCACCTTAGGTTCGTCTATGTCTTTTTTGTCTCACCACTTAGACTAGTCAAAAGAGTTAACAGATGTATCATTTTTTAAATCATCTTATAACAACATCACACGTTCTAATATTACTTATAAATAGTACTAAAATTATCTTAACTTAAAATCATGTATGTGATCTCTTACATTACCTTGAATTTGTATCATTCAATAACTATACGTTTTTTAGAATTAAAATATATGATATATCACTTATCTATGATTACCTTAAAATTATTATTTTCCATTCTTATAATTATTTTTATAGTTTAAGTATTTTTAAACTATAAAATATTTTAGCATCCATTCGAAGCTTAGAAGATAATAATTTTACCATGTTTTTGTATATGTTCATTAAAAATCTTACCGGACCAACTTCGTATTCAAAATACAGGATGGCCCACCACTCACTGACAACTTAAATAACTTTTGATCCAGTTAATATTTTTAGCTGATTTTTTTTTTAAATAATAGTTATACGTTAGGTCTATAGCTATATGTCAATAATTAATTTTTTTACATTTTATTAAAAAAATTTATTATTTTTAAATTTTAAATAAAATGTAAAAAAAAATCTAAGATAGCTATTTTGTAGAGTAGAATTTAAGAAAAATTTTAGTAAAAAAATATCTTATTAATATTCAATAGTAAATATTCTGTAGCGTTTTGAAGTTTGTGAAAATTTGAATTTTCATGTATTATTTTACGGTATTAAACATTGATATACGTATTGAGAAAAGGACAGAAGAAAACGCTATCTTTTCATGATTACTGTGTATACATATGATGATAATGTGTATACATTACAAACTTGGCATTAATACCATGATAAGAAATTAGATAAGGCAATTATTACTTATCACTCTCATTCAAAAGTATATTGAAAAGATAGCGTTTTCTTCTGTCCTTTTCTCAATACGTATATCAATGTTTAATACCGTAAAATAATACATGAAAATTCAAATTTTCACAAACTTCAAAACGCTACAGAATATTTACTACTGAATATTAATAAGATATTTTTTTACTAAAATTTTTCTTAAATTCTACTCTACAAAATAGCTATCTTAGATTTTTTTTTTACATTTTATTTAAAATTTAAAAATAATTAATATTTTTAATAAAATGTAAAAAAATTAATTATTGAGATATAGCTATAGACCTAACGTATAACTATTATTTAAAAAAAAAATCAGCTAAAAATATTAACTGGATCAAAAGTTATTTAAGTTGTCAGTGAGTGGTGGGCCACCCTGTATATCAAAAGAACCCGTTTTATATCTAGTTGAAGATATTACCTTCAAAACTTTAAAAAAATTCCCTTATTTTTAAAATTTAGAAAAATAATGCTATCAAATACCTAAGTACAGTCAAAAAGTGTTTAAATACAGTTATATACGAGTATAATAAGAAGTTTGTTATTCGTTTTAATTTTTAAAAAAGTTCCGGAATGTCTACGATGTATAATATATATATATATATGATCTCTTTCACAAGAAAAATTTAATTTCTATTATCATCACTTATACTTAGAACTTGTATCAACTTCATATTTTCAAATGACAACTGATATTATTTTTATATATTTTGTTCGTCATAAAGAAAAAATGTTTAGCAAAAAAAAAAATTATGAATTTTAAACAAAATACGCTACTTTTAAAGTTACAATATTTGATGAAAAAATTCAGTAGTTTGTCCAATACGGTTACATTATTATTTTATGTAGCGATAAGAGCTACCGGTTTATAGTAACAACGTACGTAGTCAAAATAAATAAGGTAAGCTTGGTATGATTATTTATAAAACTGGTAGGGCTTATCGATTTATGACTTATAACGTTAGAGTCTGTTATATTTTTTCTTAATAAACCATACATTTTAGAGAGCCGTGGAGTGCTTAATATCAAATAAAATTAAATATTTTTTTTTTACAAAACAGTTCATTTTTATTAAACTAAATCTAATTGTGTAAAACAAAATAGGATTGCCATTTGAAAATATGAAGTTGATAAGTTTTAACCCTTTAGCAGGCGCGTGCCTATTTTTAACGTTCATAGTCGCGTGGGAGTCTACCAGACCCCACATCTAAAAAAGTATAAAATATGTATAAAAAAGTTCATTTTTTTTAATTCAAAGACATTATTTGTTACCATATGATATATAAATATGGATAAAAATTCAATAATAAAAATTAAAAAATAAATAAATTACAAAATCATGTACATAACTAAAAATTATATTACAAAAAAAAAGTTAATTTTCAAAATTTCATTAAAAAATTGTGGTTTGTAAAAAAATTATTTTTACTGCAAAACCTTATTTTTAAGACAAAAGCTTTTATTATTACAATGTGTATTTTAATTAATTTTTCTTGTATTTCTTTGATCTCAAACATGGCTTATATTTATTAGTTTTATGTGTATTTACATTTATATAATCATTTTTCTGATTTGAATTTTTTTATTATTAATATTACAATACATTTAATTATTATGATACGAATATATACAATTATTCTGAATCTGTTGAACATTGATTTTTCTCCCAACAATCTTTGCATACTGTTTAATATACGCGATATATTTATTACGTGTTTTGTTCTTATTTGTTCCGTATCATCGATTAGTGGAAATTCTCAATAGATTATTTATTTTTAAAACTTAATTGCACAGTCGGTGGCAGATCCACATAATTCCAATTCCATAATAATATATCGATTATAACATTGCATTTACGATAAAAAGATATTATGAAAAAAATACAAGTCCAAAAAAAAATTATAACGTTACAAGTCGCTTGGTGGTAAATATGACCTATTTCAATTTTGATGAATATTTTAAGTCATACATTTTTTTTTCGAAGGTATCTATTTATGAAAATCGATTCAATATTACTATAAAAACTATCTTCTAAATTTATATCTATGTACACCTTTTATGCAATATAATACATCCGTTTTTATTTATGTGAGGGTATGCTAGACCCCCACGCGACTGTTTAAGGGTTAAGTATAAGGGATAGTAGAAATTTAAATTTTTTTATGAAACACTTTATCAAAGATCCATTTGATCCACTTTCAGATATCAATAACCAAGACTTTTAAAATAGTCATACAATTATTTTCACAAAAAATAACGGGAATATCATGTGCCAAGGACCAGAACAAAAGACAGAAACACTCAAGTCTTAGTGTTTCAGACCGATTCACATGCACAGGAAATAAAGTTTCCTGTTATTATAAAATAAAATTAACTCATATATCAAGAAAATAAACATAATTTGATATTAAATGTTTTCAGTTCTTCTTTGTTAACAGTTTAATTATTTTTATGTCATTACAATGTATATTTTTAACATTATAAATTTTTTTTAACTATCGCATACATAGGAAAGTCTGAAAAGGAAATTAATAATATATAGTCATCGGGTTTGAATAAGTTAAAAAAACTAATATTGTTATAACAGTTAGTCTAATTTTTATCTATTTTTAACTTAAAAAATTAAAAATCATTCACTTTGCTTGTATCATTTTTCACCATAAATAAATTTTGTGACTATTTCTTAAAAAGTGACAGTATATATTTACAATTATTCAAGAGAGCAAAAAAAACCTTCAAATTTCAAAGATGCTTTAGACATAATGTCATTTTTCATTTGACAACAAAAAATCAACTGTAGAAATAATGTTTAGAGTTTTAAAAAATTCCAAATTATTCAAAGTATTATTGAAGTATATACTTTATTGGAACATCATGTCAAAAACTATTTTTACGTTTAGCTAATATGTGATTTTATGTTTCCAAATATGATTCTTTTGGTAAACATCAAAAATATATTAGAATCAATTTTTCATTTATTTTATGTTTAACTAGAGTTTTAATATCAACTTAAGAGAATCTGTACAATTTTTAAGAGAAAGGGAAAGTGTAACTATAGAAATGTGTAGTAAAGTAACATGGTTTCAAAAGACGTACGAAAATAATATTTAAGAACATAATAAAAAATACATAGTTTGTTAAATTAATTAATACATTGTTAAATTTTATGGTACTATTAATACAATAGAGTTATATCTTGAAAAAAATATAATTTTGTTGATTAAAAAATTTGAACCTTATAAAAGATTATAACTGTAAGTAGACTATCTCAAAATAAAAAAATTTCAAGGCATATCCTTATTGTTTTGATTGTTCCATATTATTAATAGCTTCAAACAACACTTCTTAAAACGTTAATTTTTTGACATAAATTATACATTCAAAAATCCTTA